ATGTATATATATATATAAATTTTGATGCAAATTATAAATCTCAGGTATTTTATAGAATTGTAATTAACATAATTTACATTATGCACCAACATTTTACCACAACATCAATTTATGTTATGCAATTATAGACATAAAAGAAGCCATGCTTTACAATTTTTACAATAATTTATCTATTTACTTATTTGCATGTTTTAAATTAAAAACAAATTATACAAATATGTAACAAAATATTTCTTACAATATATATTAAATAAAGTAGTTATAAAAAGAATAAATATTTACCAATTACATACTTTTTTAAATAAGTATTTTACATTTAAATTCAAGCCCTTCTTTAAAGACAAAAGGATCATGTGATTTAAAGAAATGAGCACATTTACATATATACCTACCAATTCCTATATGCTTACATATGCATACATAAAAATTTAATTTTTTATATTTATACCGCCTAAAATCTTTCATATCACATCAAAAATATCACTTTTTAAACTTAAAATATAAATAAAAATACACATTTTCTTAAACATGATATATATGCAAAAAATGAAATTGGGTGATATGTATATAAATCTTCTAAACAAATAATAATTTCCAATTATCATAATCATTCCCACTCACTACACTAATTAAATTCTCATTAAAAATATATAATTGGAAAATTAATACGTGCTATTGTTCGTAAGTCGGAACAACAGTTTCGAGAGGGGGAAGAAGAGAGAGAAAGTAGAGAGAGAGAACCTCAAATAGGACTCCATTATCAACAAAGCTGATCCTCCCATGCGGGTTGGCCGCATAAAGCATACAGAGCATGGACTCATACATATTCAAGCTCAATGAATCCCCCACAAACAAAACCCTCTTCCCCCTGCACCTCCTCATCATCTCCATCCCATCAAACGCCGGCAGCACGCACTCCCCGTCCGGCTCCCATCGATACCCCAAATACTCCCTATCAGGCCTCCCGTACTTCACGCAATCAAACTCCTTCCTTATAAACGGGCATTTTTCCGAATCGTAAAGCGGGTACGAGTCATCGACCACCCAGCTTCCGTTGAACAGATTGCACCCGTCCGCCTCCGCCGCCGCCGCAAACAGAGCGATGCAGAGCAGCAGGCCCGGCCCGAGGCCCGAACCCATGGGCCCAAATAAGGGAGGATGAGGAAGAAGAAGGAAGCAGAGAGAAGATGAGTTGTTCTGTAATGGAGACTCTTTTATAAGTAGCTCAAATTTTATTTTTTTTTAAAGGTAATTATATTAATTCCCCATTTATTTTATTAATTATTTATTTTTATTTTTATTTCTATTTTTGTTTTTTTTTTCTTTTTTTAATTTTTCCTTATTTGTGATTTGTGAGGAATAATTAAAAAAAATATTATGGGGAGCGGTCTCCATAAAAATGGGAAGTAATAAATATGATTTGAAGGAGAATATTTTTGAAGGGATTTACGGCTTGAATGTGTTTGCTTATTTTGATCATTTGAGAATGATGGTTATTTTTGTTGGAATAATTACATAAAGAGGATTTGAAATATTGGTATTTATAAATCAAGCATTGAGGGGATTTTTTGTAAACATTGATAAATATATAAGTTGAGGTTTTATTATGAATTTTTTATATTTGATGTGGAATATGGAAATTGGATGAAATATGAGAAAATTATTCTGTCAGGACTCCTAACGTAATGCAGACACGTGACTTCAAGGAAATGCACGTTTTTCTGTGATCTGACCCTATAACAGTGGAGACTGTTTCTCCTATGTTATTTTGCATTATTCGTGTGTTATTGTGGTGATATTGATGTGTTATTGTGTTATTATAACGAACACAATATTCCCAACACACAATAACATATGAATATCACCACAATAACATCTGAATAATGCAGAATAATACAGGGGATATTCTCCTGTGCTAAAACGATTTTTTGTTATTTTTCTGTCACATCCACGTGACGTGATTCTATTGGACTCCGAATGTATCTCTACGTCCCGAGTTCGTATTTATATAAAAAAAAATGTTTTGGAGCTCTCCGTGTAATTTGTCCTTTTTTTTTTTTTGGTTGCAAATAGCACAAATGAGGGAAGTTTAGATACCTAACACGCAATTCTTATGTATTTGCATATTTCATATCTAAACTTTTATATTTGCATACATAGCGCTTAGGTGCTTGAATCTTCACTTTTAAATATTTGAGGGTCATGTGTATAAATATGAAAGTTTAGGTTTGAGATATGTAAATGTATATGAATTGCGTGCTACTTATGTGATTGGCCCAAAGAGCAAGTATAGTTAAAAGGAAAGATGGCTTACTGTGCGAGTATTTGGTTTTTTCTTAAAATGACAATTATGCACTTCACCAAGTTAGCATGTAAAGCCGTATTTGGCATGTTTTATTTTATTGAAACTCTTATTTCTTAGTAATCAAGAATTACTTGATATGTAAAGGGAGTAAAATATTCCGTCCGGACAGCCAATCACTGGCGGTCAAGTCGCCCATCAAAGACATGTATGACGACCTGACCGCCGGTGGTCGGCCATCCGGACTTGTGGTCTCCAGCCTGAATAGCTTATCATAAAGCGGGATGAGATTTTAGAGCAAATATTTCAAGGAAAAAAATGGAGATATTTTTTGTTGAAATAGAGCTTGAATCCAAATTTACAAGCTAATTGATTATCATGAAACCAAAAGTTTGAGTGAGTTATATTTTGTCTAAGGATTTGAGGGGTGGCTATAATTATTCGTAAATGTGATTGTAAAATGCTTATGCATTTACATAGTCATTCTACTTCGATCTTCTGACCATAGTCATATAATTGTCATCACTCAGTTGTACTCTTCGACTAATGTTGCCCAATTACAATCTATTAACTACTGTCGCTTGATCATATTGTTCCGACCACTCTTACATGACCACCATCGCTACACCATCGTCGCCCGCAAATTTTATTGCCAACATCAATGTATACTAATCTCTATAAGATAATGCACATCATCTCTATCCCCCATAATTTTCGTTGTAATTAATAGCATTAGACAACAACCCTTAAATTGCAATATTCAGTCATGCTTTTGAAATGCCTTTTAAAATTTGATATGACACATCCACATGCTCTTCAAATGTTTCTGCCACATCTTAACGCCCAGAATACTTGTCCCAAAATTAATTGGGATAATTACATCCGGACCCTCCCAAAAATTAATATTTATAAATTAACAACTTGTGGTGTGTTTTGTGACCTACCCGACAAATGTATGATTGATAATTTGATAAAAATGAAAATTAATTATTGGTGTCTAATCTCTATCGTTCATCACAACAAAGATGTATTTTGGTGATCCCCATTTTTTATTTTTATTTTTTAAAAAAAATGATCGATGAATCGATCGACTGTGAAGATCGCCCACCGCATGCATTTCTGCATACGTAGATCGTATGGAATAATTTTTCGAGCTTTTACCATGAATTTTGGTATTTGAGTGAGAATTTGAAAGAATGGATGAAAGAGGACGGTTGATCTGTAAATAGCAAGTTTCTCACGGTATGTATGTAATTGACCCATATTAATCAATCATATATGATTATTTAATATATTTATGTCACAAGATTATGATTAATTATTTACATCGTTAAAATGAGAGTAAATGCGATAATCATGAGCTTTATTCTGATCAAATGTGAGCCAGAATATATTGATCCTTAAAATAAAGAGGGATTTACATAAATACCTCATAATTTTTTTGGTATTTATATATATGACATTCCAAGAAAACTATATTTGAATGACATTCATCTAATTTCAACCAATTTGGACCCTTTATAACAATTTTTGTAGCCATAATTTTACTTAATTTAAATGTAGTCTCAATTAGTTGGATCAATAAAAAAATTAAAAAAAATATTGTGTAGAATTTTGACTTTAAGGGTCTATGTGGGACTAATGGTGTAAACGAGTCGAGTCAAGCTCGAGCCACCCTAGACTGTAGCTTGAGCTCGAGCTCGATTTCGAGCTTAAGTCTATGAGTTCGAGCCATTTCGCGAGCCTGTTTGTTTAATATAAAAGAGAGAAAATGATATTAATTTATGATAGCTTTATAATAATATGACAAATAAAATGAACAGTTAGTAGATAGATAATAAGAGCTTAATATATATTACAAAAACTATTTTTTATAGATTTTTAATACCTTAATGATAAAGTCTTGAAATTTAATATATTTGGAGTATATTTTATATTAATATTTTTTTAAACGCGTCGGCTCAAGAGCTAACGAGTCGAGTCGGGGCTGGCTTGCGCATGGCTTGTTAGCTCATCGAGCTCAGTTCCAGTCTTCCAGAGCCACTTCTCGAGCCAAGCTCGAGCAGGCTCACGAGTTGGATTCACTAACTTACAAGTCTATTTAGGACAGCTTTCTACCTTATTTGCATTCCAGAGCTACACACAGTTTTTTCAGGGAACTGTTTTCTTGCTGCTTTTTAGAAATTCTACGGTGGAAAACTATTTTTTCTTAATGGGACATATTAAAATGTGGTGATTGTAAGAAAGTTAGAAGACTGCAACTAGCCAGACAAAACAAATCCTAAATCTCTTCTACATTAATATTATAGTAATTTTTTTTTCCTTCTAACTATAAAGTGTGTTAAATAAAAACAAAAAATAATTAAAAAGCCTTATCTCTATTAACATTTAGCAATTAATTAACTAAATAATAATTTGGGCGTTGGATGGTCGCAACAACATCCAAAATTTGGTTTCTCATATGTTGTTCTAATCCATGACTCTATATCTCCCATCGCTTTCATCAAAGAAGAGTAGAGAATACGAAATTGAGTCATGCAATTGTGGTGTTCGCGAACATGGAGTTGAATTGGATGATGTAATAAATATTAAAATTATTTTAATATTATCTTAATAATATGATAGTCATAAAAATTGATATTTTCATCAATTAATATATAATATTCTAATTTACCACATTTTATCTTGAATAATTTGTTTATTTTCTCAAAAAAAAAAAAATATATTTAGTCATCATTTCTTAATTAAAGAAAGCCTAAAATTAAGATTTTTATATGGTAGAATCTATTTATGACATTATAATAACCTCTTTTTAAATGAAAAATAATATTTAAACAATAAGAATGCAATTTTTGTATAAATATAGACCCACATCCTTAAACATATTTAATTCCATTTTAACTAAAATAAAATAAAAGTTAACATTGATTATTCCTTCAAAATAATTTAGGAAAGATAAAAGAATTGAAAGGGAAAAACTTTAATTCGGCGTATTATTTATGGAAGTCATAGTTGCGTGTCATACTTTGCCATCTTAAAATATCTTTCAATTTACAATTTTCCGTATCATATATATATATATATATATATATATATATATATATA